ATTATTCCTTTTTTTCAGGATAGTGATCTACCAACAGGTAATTGATTAAAAACTCACTGTTAAAATAGTGGTGGGCAAAGTACACCCCTCCAGATGTTGTAGGATTACAACTCTCAGTATTCCTCACCACCAGCTACACTGTCTAGGGCTAATGGGTGTGGCAATACCATTTCCTTCTTGGTTTAGTCTTACCAGAGCACTGCACAATTTAAAATCATGGACGTATATGAAATATTAAAATTTTTTGAAACAAATTAAAATTTAAAGATATTAGATTATTTTTGACTAAAAGTGAGCTACTCCAATAGTGTCATCTCTACCATTTGCTAGATCTATTGTACACATGACAGGGCGTAAATTGCATGCCCATAAGTGTTACGTTTATTGAGTTTCTCCACAGTCACAGAAAATTTGTCCACTTCAACAATCACCAGAGAATTTTACTTTGTCTATCCCTAGTTTTAAATGAAAGATATACAAATAACAGCTGCTGGCTACTCCATTCCCCTCCCCCCATAGCTGTCCCCAAATGTGAACACCAATAGATAGGGGTTAATCATCAGTGGGAGTATAGAGATGTTGTCAAGGAGAAAGTGTCAATCTACTTGTGTTCCTACAAGCTGAAAGCAACTCTGATGACCCCATCCTCGTGCATCACCCATGTTTATTATTTTCAGAGGGCAGGGAGCTTGAAAGAAAAAAGTTCACATTTCAAATGCCTTCTCAAAGTCTGCCAGCATTATCACCATCATCTATCATCATTCCTAATTCATCTAGGCTACTTCCCCTAAGAACGGACCACAGAAGGGGAATCATGTTCAGGCTGTACACATGCTGACTTACAGCAACAAAATGCTCAGACCTGAGACATATTTTTATTGTCATGGCGAATCCCTAGAATATGAATACCAAAAGCAGCGTATTTCCCAGGGAACTAGGTAGTGGTTTGGGGAATAATGGGAAGTTCTTACAGAAGGTATATACTCCAGTGAGCTTCAAATTATGTCTTTATTTTTGTGTTTACATTTGTATCTTCCACAGAGCTCAAGACACCATACATGGCTCTCTTTCTCCCCACTTTCTGCTTGCAGTAGCTCTGTCACGTAGTTCAGAAAGGGCGATTGGCTCCAGCGTACTTAGCAGTTCTACTGGATAAATGAGGATTTGGCTCTGAGTCTCCCCAGGGATGTGGTGGCCCTGAGGGTTAAACCTCAGAAGACTCTGTCCTGCAAGGTCAGAAGACCAGCAGTCGGAAGATCAAAGCCACGCAGCGGAGTTGTCCCAGCTCCCACTAACCTAGCAGTTTGAAAGCATGTAAAAATGTGAATAGATAAATAGGTACCACCTCAGTGGAAAGGTAACGGCGTTCCATGTCTAGTCACGCTGGCCACATGACCACGGAAACTGTCTACAGACAAACACTGGTTCTACGGCTTGGAAATGGGGATGAGCACCACGCCCTAGAGTTGGACATGACTGGACTAAATGTCAAGGGAAAACTTTACCTTACCTCCCCAGTCCTAGTCCATCACTGTAAGCATTAATACTTGGGGTTTAAAAAGAACTTTCCATTTCTTTACCCTTCCTCTGGCAAGGATGGCTGCAAGGTCCTGTGTTCCTTTGGTGTGAAGACCACTTCCAAATCATCTTCCGGAAAATCACCAAGTTCTTGAAGGAATTCTGAATCTAGGTGATTCAGCTTCATCATCAGGAAACCCTCAAAATCAACTGGCTCTACTGCATCATAGAACTGAGGCTGAAAGTTACAAAAGGAAAAAAGGTGATCAATAACCACTTCTGTTTTGACAAGGATTCTGCAAAAGCATTCAACAATTATGCCTCCATCGCCTGCCCCAGGGAAGCTAAGGAGACCCTTTGATTGACCATGGGCATCAATCAGATGTGCCATCAGTGCAATCACTCTCAAAAAAATGAAGTTCAATGAGTCGGCCCTCAATCCAGTATACAGCATCCCATCATGCCACTACATAGACTTGACAGAGCCAGGAAAGGAAACTGAGAAAAATTGAGAAAAGACTACAAATACTTAAGCGGTACAAAACTATACAGGATGGAAGTCCGTAGTAGTGGTAGTGGTAGTGGTAGTGGTAGTGGTAGTGGTAGTGGTGGTAATAAACAACAACAACAACAACAACAACAAACACCACCACCACCACCTTATGTGCATCTTCAGGCACAAAGCTGAGAATAATATACTCTTCATTTTTCGGGTCTCCATAATACAATCTTACAAAGAAGGCAGGAGCTTAAAAATCCCATGTGCATCTTCAGGCACAAAGCTGAGAAGAAATATACTCTTCATTTTTCAGGTCTCCATAATACAATCTTACAAAGAAGGCAGGAGCTTAAAAATCCCATTGACTTATTTTACTATAGTATAAAGATGGTTACTGTGGGAATACTACATTGTCAGCCAGTTTTTTTCAATTGCATATACCTTCTTAAAATGTTTCTAGAATAATCAAAGGAAGCTACTTAAATAGTTTTTTGCAAATATAAAAATTGATTGCAAATAATGCACTGATGGAATAGACCATGCCTAGGAAAATGTGCACCATAATAGATCAATAAAACCTGTTTATGAGAAGAATCAGAATTTACATCCATTTCCATGAGTGAAATGCCACGTGCTAAAAAAATGTATTAAAAACAGAGCTCTGTGGCACTGCAAAAACTAACAAATACACCAGGGCATCAGGCTTTGGGACCACTTTTATTTCCCCACTGGGTTGGGTATCATATTCATCTGAATTTTCTTCAAATCAATGAACAGATCAATGCACCCTGTACTTTATTTCTTTGCTAATGAAGTTGCATGACATTTTGCAAGTAAAATAATCTTTCCTCTTTTTTAAAAAAAAAGAGAGGGAGTTTTGACATAAAGTGAACTCTGCATACACTGTATTGTACTTTGAAATATTGTCCCTGTCATTCCTACAGTTTTGTAAATTTCCTAAAGAAGAACGACAACCTTGTGCAAGAGTGTTTGCAAAGAACAGTAAAAGGAAGATCAGTGCAGCTGGTGAAGAAATGCTGCACAGAACCAGCATGGTTGAACCTGTGAAAAGCAAATCAAATATCACAGAGAAAATGTTTCAGTGACATACCTTTTTAGCACAGCGCGATCAACAGTATAAAATATTTGGCAGCAATCAAAATGGCGCAGAGAGGAAACAAGACGCAAGCTTCTTGGCAAAATGTTGTGGTTTTTCTAAGGGCAAATGACAGACTCCCCCTCACCCTCTAGTGACTAACCAACAGAGCAAGCTAAGCACCACTGCTTTTCAGATTGAGGAAGTTGGTAAAATAATGGTGGTTAGCTTTGACAGACAGGAAATGTAAGTTTAGCAGAGTTTCAAAAACTGCGGCTCTCTAAATAACTTCACATACATATGAGAATGCAGTAAAAGCTCTGAAAATCTCATAATATTCAACAAAATTCTGTAATTAAAAAATGTTCTATGCCTGTAGCAGGCACCAAAAGCAGGGAAAGGATAATTACCTATAAAACTTGAGTAGAATTGATTTATTTTTAGAGAACAGCTGTTCTGAGAAATTATACCTTAGTTCAGTGGTTTCCAACCTTAGGCAATCCAAGTGTTTTTGGACTGCAACTCCCAGAAACCCCGGCCAGCAAAGCCACTGGTGAAGGCTTCTGCCTTAGGTTCAACAATTTTCAAAGATCTGGTGTGAGCAGGTGGGCACTTGTCCGCAGGTGGGTCAACTTCAGCTTCTTCCTGGCACTGCAGGGGCCCAGTCAAGAGTCGATGGAAGGCTAAGAACGGTGTCCTTCCCCTGATCACTGCCAGGGAGGAGTGTTATTTGCCTCAGCCATTGGCTCAAAGGATCAGGAAGGCAGGAGAATGAAAAGAGCAAAAAAGGAAAAATCCTACTCAAGGAGCTTCCCAGCCCAGCAGGAACAATAAAAGAGGAAATCATAAGACAGCAAGGGAAGCCTGGACACCCAGTGTGGTGTAGTGGATAGAGTGATGGACTAGGACTCAGGAGGCATGGTTTCAAATCCCTGCTCAATCATGGAAATTCTGTATGTGCATGTGTATGTGTGGTACTGGTAAGGTCGCTCCTTAGTTATCTCACATACCCCGAAAGCCCTAGTAGGGTCACTATAGGTTGGTTCTAACCTGATGGCACATAGCAGATCATAACATAACATAACTGGAATAGGAAGGCAGGAGAACGAAAAGAGCAAAAAAAGGAAAAATCCTATGCATGGAGCTTCCCAGCCCAGCAGGAACAATTAAAGAGGAAATCATAAGACAGCAAGGGAAGCAGGAAGGCAGGAGAATGAAAAGAGCAAAAAAGGAAAAATCCTACTCAAGGAGCTTCCCAGCCCAGCAGGAACAATAAAAGAGGAAATCATAAGACAGCAAGGGAAGCCTGGACACCCAGTGTGGTGTAGTGGATAGAGTGATGGACTAGGACTCAGGAGGCATGGTTTCAAATCCCTGCTCAATCATGGAAATTTTGTATGTTCATGTCTATGTGTGGAACTGGTAAGGCCGCTCCTTAGTTATCTCACATACCCTGAAAGCCCTAGTAGGGTCACTATAGGTTGGTTCTAACCTGATGGCACATAGCAGATCATAACATAACATAACTGGAAGCCTGCAAGGAAGATTGAGAGGGAACTGGATAGAGAATGAGTGGGAAGGCTGAAGCAGAGACAGAGAGCTCAACAGAGACAGAAAAAGAGGAATGAAGTCAAGGAATGAGCTGATGGTCCTGTGGGAGCAAGTGGGCCCCACAATCCACCAGCCTATACCTGCTTTGCTAGGCTCTTTCTAACAGGTAAGCCTTCCCTCTATGAACCCAGCATTCTCCAAGGCAGCAATAGGCTGACTGCTTTGATCCATGTCTGAAGGATACAAGACTACCATGGGTTGACAGGCAGTCCTGTCAGTGGTACCCATCAAGATCCCAGCTATGAAGGTCACACCAACCCCAATTCAACTGAGATGGTGGAGGAATCAGAGGAAGCTTTAAAAGCTGTGTCAAGCAGCCAAGGACTTGAAAAAAAAGGAAGACTTACACTGTGGACTATTCACTCCCCTTTCTGTTTGTGCTTGAGCCCTAGTACCACATCAATATCCCACACAAGAATGGACTACAAACCATCAGGAATACTTTTCCGAATCATGGTCTGGCACATCTAACCACAAAACTGCATCCACTGTGAACTATTTCCTCTTTGGTAAAAAGGTAAAGGTTCCCCTTGACAATTTTTGTCCAGTCGTGTGCGACTCTAGGGGGCGGTGCTCACCCCCATTTCAAAGCCATAGAGCCAGCGTTTGTCCGAAGACAATCTTCCGTGGTCACATGGCCAGTGCAACTTAGACACGGAACGCTGTTACCTTCCCACCGAGGTGGTCCCTATTTATCTACTTGCATTTGCATGCTTTCGAACCGCTAGGTTGGCGGGGAACTATTCCCTCCCCTTTCTGTTTGTGCTTGAGCCTTAGCACCACATCAATATCTCACACAGGAATGGTCTGCAAACCATCAGGAATACTGTTCCGAATTATGGTCTGGCACATCTAACCACAAAACTGNCCGAGGTGGTCCCTATTTATCTACTTGCATTTGCATGCTTTCGAACCGCTAGGTTGGCGGGAGCCGGGACCAAGCGATGGGAGCTCACTCCATCGCGTGGATTCGATCTTACGACTGCTTGGTCTTCTGACCCTGCAGCACAGGCTTCTGCGGTTTAGCCCGCAGCGCCACCACGTCCCTCTGTTTCCTCTTAAGTAACTATGTATTTATTTTAAGTATTTTAACCTCACCTTTCTCCTTAAAAAGAACATAAGGCAGCTTACATTATCAAAACTAAAAACAGTAAGTGTACAAACACAATAAAAGATCAAACTAATACCACACTAAAAACAGTAAACAAAAGCAACTCCAAAAACACATGTAAAAAAGCTAATTGGACTGGTACCTGTATCTCCCCCCCCCCGCCGCCCTTTACAGACAGTATCATCTGTGGTGCTCGCAATGAGACAAAGTCCTTAAAAATACTGGGTAACAGAAGGCTGTGCAAGAGCAATGCAAAAGAAGACACAACAATGCACACACCTGCCATCCAATACCATGCCAGCCTTCTCACTCTTCTGTCATCTGATGTCTGAGGTAGGCGTGTACACAATGAAAAGGCCAGTGCTGTCCCATACACTCAAACACACACCTAGGATTTTCCAAAGCAGAGTTTACCCTTGTCCATGCTACCTGGGAATAACCTCACAGAAATATGTAAGAATCTCCACACTTACAAGATGAATAGAAGAGAACCCAGGGGTGCTGATACTTCGCTGAGGGAATTGTCCAAGGTTTGGCTGATGCACAAACTGTCTTCTTATTTCTGCTGAGGAATGCCTTTAATGCCAAAAAATAAGAAAATACTGGTATTAACAACATTTTCTCAAGTATTTTGATACGTATTTAACAAGACTTACAAGGATGCCCTTATATTATTCAAACCAAACATAATGACTTCACATAATTATAAATCAAATGTTGTTTCAGTGCTTGCATATGATTTAAAAAGGCAGAGGGAAAAATGCATAATCAAACCAATTTTCGAGTAAAAGTATTTAGGAGAAAACACGGGAGAGGAAAACACAATAGCACCATGCCTAACCTCTAATGGAAATGCAGTAGTAACTGCAAGGCAAAATTATCGCTTATGCCAAAATCGTCTTGAATAGCGACGCCAGCATAACATTAATGGCAGAATTTTTGAATTAAATTGCTGAATCAGACATCTTTCCAAAATGTACCAAAGTTGTCTTTTTTAAAAGACATAAACAAATTATAAAAAATACAGTACAGGAAAGTAAATAAGTAATAATAGTATAGGTGGAAATTCAACTTAAATGTTGCAACAATCAGACACTGCCTCCGAACACGTAATCATGAGAGAGCAGCTATATAAAAATGCCCACAGAATTTAACTGTGTGGTTAAATGTTTCTTTTTCACTCATGCAGGCTGGAAATTTCTGTGCAAACACTGGGCAAAATCACATCATCTAGAGGTGTAAGATAATCTTAGCCAGAACATAACCAAATCTCATCTTCAGAGGCCAAGCAGGTTCAGACCTGGTTAGTGTTTGCATGGGAGATCAGCAGGAAATATCCTGGATTTCCAGGTAGGACTAGGAAAGCATCCTGCCTGAAACCCAGAGTTGGTGAGAGTCAGAGTTGACAATACTGAGTTTGATAGACCATTGGTCTGACTCAGTCAAATTATACGTTACAAATACTGTACCCATCCCTGCAGCTGAAATCAGATTGTGTCTCAGAAATGTTATTCAGGTGAATCTTATTTTCTGAGAGATCAGACTTGCTGAATTGTGTTTAGCTCCTAAAGACCAAGCACCAAAAAAAAGCCAATTTGCAAACAATGTGAGGGGTGAAAACCTCTGGCCATAGCAATCAAATACTTTCTCACCCAGCCCCACTGCACAAAAAGGAATGAACTCAGTTAGTGAGACTTGAACTGAACCTAAGTAATTGTCTCCAGTTCACTCGCCTTTGTAAACAGATCAGTCATTCTTACTCTGTGGAAAGAGACCTTACCTCCCCTCCTACATTACATTTCTTTTATAGCTGGCAATGTTGGAGGAGTACACGTTCCCAACAATGTCAGTGAACTGGATAGTTTATAATGGCTGCAATTACATGAGAGTCATTTCAGAAATACACAAGGGCCAACAAGAGCAAATCAGCTATTACACTAATGAACAAGAGGAGCTGGAAATCCGTGCTCATACTTTTAGACTCGGTCCTCCTGTTAAGGAGTTTGCATGGGCAAAAAAGTTTGCATCTGTATACGCAAAAGGACTGCAACTTTATTTCATAAAGATAAAGATCCTGACATTAATGTTTCTACAATTTTCTTAAACATCCAAAGTACAAAACATTTGATTTTTCTAATACTGTATGTCTGTTGGATCACCTCTATTCACACCCAAGCCCAGGGACTGACTTTCAAGAGAAAGTTAAACATGATGGCAGAAGGGGGAGAACACTTCTTCGCATATCACATAAAGCACAAAACTCAGATTATAATGATGGTGACAAACTACAAGTCTTTTAGAATAGAGGACTGAGGGTACCTAAAACCCACCATGCTGGGCACAGTTGGCTATAATTATAATATATTCAAAGCCATTGTGCTTTTTCCAAACACTCTTCAATGTTCCATTCAAATAGAGCAGTGGTACCCAACCTTATTTCACTTGTACGTATACCCCTTAGCAGCCCATTTCCATAAGCTGTACACTTCATATTAGCAAAATGCTTGCAATTAATATGGTTGCTGTTATTTCAAATTTATATGTTGTAACTGTAAATAAATAGTCTAATGATGGGATGAAAAAGCAATGGAATAATGTGAACAGATGCCGCATATATATTTACATTCAAAGCTCAGAAAATACAATGAATAAATACATCACAGGACTGACCGAGACGCCCACTTTTACTGTATATACATTGGTATTGGTGTGACAGCACTCAAATGTTTGTGAAGCAGAAGAGAGTGAAAGCTGAGCCTGTGACAGGACTGCCGCTGAGCATGTGTGCTATAATGGTGTGTGTGCAACACACTATTTAGAGAGGAACTCACTATGATTCGCCAAAGTAACAAAGTGAGGGAAGGGGGCCTTTCTCAAGGATATATAATGAAGAAAATACACTCTGCCATTCAGCATAACATTCAATTAATTTCACAAAAATTGACTTGTATCTTGTCTTAACACTGTTGACATATGTACCTTTTCCCACCATGACTCTATTTTTTCATGTACCCTTAAATGCTGCGGTTCATACTTCTGCAGGTACACACACCCTACGTTGAGAATCGGTGAAATAGCGGATATACTTAGCACAACATGTGTGTCCTCAATGATGTGCCTTAAATTCAGTATGTTTTTAATGATGACATTATTAGAAGATAAACATGGGCTTATGTTGCAAATCTGACTGTAGGGTTACTTGTCTCTAAAGAACTCTCAATGTAGTAGAGAAAGTGGTTTAAATTGACATAATACACACTCCCCTTAACTTCTAGTTTGACCTTCAGTGACTTGAGGATAATATCATTTGATGGACAACTTTCCATCATAAATATCTTCCTCTTTATAGTTTTAGCAAATAGTCTTACTGCACCTCACGTTGATGCTGCTTGGCTAAAGAACAGAAGGCTTGCCTCATGGGTTTGAAACAGAGAATGGACCTGACAAGATACAATTAATCCTCACTGAGAGTACTGTAATGTAAAACTGAATTCAAAGTAAACTCAAACTAAAGTGCTCATTCTCACACGATCTAATGCAAAATCTCTCCAAGCTGTCCTATATCTAGCTCAGAACTGCCTAACAGTTTTGCTCAGTGAGTAACTGTAACTCACTTTATGTGGGGCTGCTGATACAAAGTGTCAGGAAATTTCAGCAGGTCCAAAATGCAGCTGCCAGATTGCTGACAAGGACTGGTTACAGGGATCACATAACCCCCATTACAGGAGCTCCACAGGCTGCCGATCAGTTTCCAGGCACAATTCAAAGTGCTGGTTCTAACCTGTATAAAGCCCTAAATGGCCTGGGTTCAAGCTATCTCCAAAACCGTGTCTCCCACCATGAGCCACCTCAGCTGTTAAGATCTTTCTACCAGTCCCACCACCTTCACAGATGAGTCTGATGGGACACAGGAGAAAGCCTTCTCTGTTGTTGCTCTCAGACTTTGGAACTTCCTCCCACAGAAGGCCAGACTGGCCCCATCTTTGCTGTCCTTCTGAAAGCAGGCAAAAACCTTTCTCTTCAGTCAAGCTTTCCCTCAGTGACTGGCCACATGGGTGGTTATATGAGCAACCTTCAGATGGATTGTTACGCATTTCTGCTCTGACTGGGTATGAGTACATACTTGTGTTTATCACCTCACAGAGTGGTTTTTGTTTGTTCCTTTTTAGTATTTGCATAATTATTATTTTAGCTTTAATATTGTCTTTTAATGATGTAAACTGACTCCTTATGCTCGTTGTTTTTAGCGTTAAATACTGCATTTTAATTATGTAAATCACCATTGTGTACTCATTGTTTTCAGCTCTAAATATTGTATTTCAAGGATGTAAGCCGCCTTGGGTCCTTTTTAAGAAGAAAGGTGGGGTAAAAGTATTTAAAATAAGTAAATTAATAAATAATAAACCACATAAACAGGAGCTAAGGAGAAGATGGAGAAGGCCCAAGGTATTTTGTTGCCTGAAGTGAAACAACGGACGTTAACAAATGTTATGTACATGTGTGTGCAAACTCATGCAGGCACAGACATACATATACAGCCCAAACTAAGGTGTATAACAACCAAAGATAGCCATACAAATTTAGCACTTGAGGCCGATAAGGCCTCACATTAACTCGCCCAATAATAATAAATTACATAATAATTTGCTGTCCATTCATAACACTCCATGTTAGGTGCCTAAGCACACACCTCCCCACAACTAATGGTATAATAAAGTCTGGAGGGCATAACAGAATCTTCCAAGAAGCAGAGTTTGGGTCCATATAAATCTGGAACTGGACATTAATAACACCAGTCTGGACAAGATGTGATTGAGCACAAAAGTATCAGTTCCTCATATCACTGCATAATGGAGATATGCTTCATCTCTCCCTCCCTTTCTACTCAGAGTTTGTCCTGAGTATAAAATATACGCCTTCATAACATAATTAGAGAACTTCATGATGCTTCATGGGGCCAGGTGGCTACTTGGTGCAATATTTTGTCACTCATACAGATTTTTGTTTGAAACTGGAAACTGAGTAATAGGAAATGACATTGTCACAATCCCCCACCCGAGTTCCTTGGTACAGAGAAGTCATATCCCTCAAGGGATGAGCCTGTAGAATGCAGCAAACAGGAAAGTCTGGGAGTGCCCATCAAACTGCTCAAATTATCATACCCTCCAAGATTTCCCAGCCAGAAATTGTCAGCTGACTCAACACATGCTATAAAACAAAATCTGGTGAAGCTAGCTAGGTTGTTTCAGAAAATGCTGTTCCCATGGGATTTCAAATGAAACTGAAAAATTATTACAAAAAGTCATAAGAATCTAGAATAAAATTATAGTATAATTATTTGATTACCATGTAGTAATTAAGGAATCTTTTCAGAAACATGCTTTTAAAAAGTACTAAACTTTTGATTAGAATGTGTTCTACTGTTGTATTCATTGTTTCTTTCAAGCTTTATATATCCTGTCTTTCAATGACCTTTGAGACCTCTTACAGCTGCTGAAATCCTGTTGCTTAGTAAGTTGCAATCAGAGTAAGGCCATTGAATTAACAGAACCTCAGATGACTCCCCAAATCCCCAC